CTGCCTGCGATGACGCTATGCCCTGAAGGGGGTAGACACAGAGCAGTATGCCAGGGAGGAAGCTAAACTCCGAAGGGGGTGGACACCGAGCAATGTGCGAGCGAGGATGCTGAGCCTCGAAAGGGGTGGACACCGAGCTATGTGCCAGCGATGACGCTAAGCCCTAAAGGGGATGGACACCGAGTAGTGTGCTAGCGAGGATGTTGAGCCTCGATGGGAGAGTAGACACTGAACGGTGTGCCAGCAAGGACGTTGAGCCCCAAAGGGAGGTGGACACTAGACAGTGTACCAACAAGGACACCAGGCTTCGAAAGGGGTGGATTATGAGATCTCACATCAATTGGAGAGAGAAACGAGTGCCATCGAAGATGCTGGGCCCCGAACGAAACATTCTTTATAAGAGTATAGAAACCTCTCTCTATCATACGCGTATCAAAAACTTTGAGGAGCTCGAAAGTGAAAGTCTAAAAAGGACAATATCTACTGGCTAGACTTTGATCATCTTTTTGGGGGTGAATTTGATGGGACTAACTTGTATCATCATCAAATAAATTTAGACATGATTTTATTAGTCAAGGGATACACATCAAAATTCAATTAATCATATACATAACTCATTCCCATATTTTTCTAACACTTCTCATTACTATATCAAAATCAGTACATACATTGATATCCATTTAAAACAGTGGAAGATTAGTACAAGTGGATCAGAGAGAGAGAGAGGGCTTACAAATAACTTAGTTCCTTCTTTTTTTTAGTAACTAAAATAATAATAAGAAGAAGAAGATGAAGTTATCTGATGATGACTGACCGTGAATATACATAATTAAATACCTGATATCAAGTGGCCTAGAAAGTGATCAAATCTGGTAGCTCTGACTTATAATTTGGTATAGAAATGATACTCAAATGGGATGAAGAACAGCTTGGAAGAGGCCCTGCCAATGCTGTTCTTGATGCACAATCTCCATCAAATATCTCCCATTTCTCTGTAATCACTGTCTTCAAAACCCTTTTATTTGATCCATTCCTTCTAATTCCATTCATTTCTTCTCCATTGTTGTTGTTATTATTATTCTTATTATTATAGTCGTCGTCGTCTCCCTCTCTCATCGTATTATCATTCCCCATTTTTTCTTCTTTAAGAACTTCACAATGTTTTGTTTTCTCATCATTGTTAACACTTCCATTGATGATCAGCTCAAGTTCTTTGATATCTTCTTCTGGGATCTTCTCCAATTTTGGGCACTCACTTGCCTTCAAAACGCCCATTTCTTTACATACCTCAAAATATTGACACAAATCTTCTACTTGATTTGCTGCTTTTTGAACAACACAAAGCGCCATCGATGCTTCGGCTTTCGTTGGTGAGACGTATATTTTCAACAAAATTTGAGCAATTCCGTTGCAGATTCGGCTGTATACGTCGAAAACTTCGACAACGAGATTGTTCATCGCCTCCAAAACTAAGCCGACCTATAAAACAAAGGAATTAAATTTAGACTTTTGAGTTGATGGGTAATTTAATATGATACTAAATGTATAATTTGATGCTAATTTAATGTCATATCAGAACAAAAAAAAATTAAAAAAATTTACAGCTTTTGGTTGATGGGTAATTTAATTAAATTTATGAGTTTTGGGTCGATGAGTAATTTAATATGATATCAGAATAATAGAGTGGGGTTAAATTAAAAAAAAAAAATAATAATAATAATTTAAGATACCTTCATGTTGTCATCCAATGGTCGAACTTGAAGCAAGGTATCCAACATAGATTGCCAATTTTGAAGCTTAATCAACTCCTCCAACAATGGTGGCTTCAACCCTTTCTTCAATTTCTTAGCCTCCGAAGATATGAACGCTGATTTCTGATCCAAATACGCATAGTAGCTTCTCACAAACGCATCATAGCCCCAAGTCTTGGAAGGGCTGGAGTGGCAATCTTTGAACCCGGACAGATCGAACGGCAGCCGTCGGATCAGCTGGACGGACGGGATTTGGCAACAAAACACCCCATGGATGAGCATCAACCCCTTTAAAGCAACGACCCAGCTTCGAGTCTTTTCCATGCGGGCGGAGAGGCCCCACGCAAGAGGCTTGATGTAGACCGGAGACGTACGGATCCATTCGAAGACGCGGCGGGCGTTGTTGTAATCGATTTTAGCGCCGTCGTGGCTGGTTGCGCGGATTATGGCAGCCTCAAGGTCGGGGTGGCGATATGGCGTGCGGCGTGAAAGGGTGGCAAGCCAAATGCTATTTCTGTCTTTGATTGCGCCCACAGCCTTTTGCCATAGCTTCATTCTCCGGCGACCACAGCAAATGCCCGCCCGCGCGTCCACCGGGATGCCTTTTGGCCTTTAATCCTTATATGGTGGGCTTGTGGAACGTTTTGTGGGTGTTCTTGTGGCTTATGCGATGAACGAACAATTCAACGCGGTATTGGGTGGGGATTGGACGTGCCTGCGGGGAAATAGATGTAATCTATAATAATTGGTCAATCATGACTCCATTTGGGTTGGGTTCATTTTTTTTTTTTTTTTTTTTTAATTCTTCATGTCAAGGTTGCTATGGTTTCTACACCTATTTGCAATGTCTTTGGATTATATCACTAAATTAGAGATAGATCGATTGTAAAATTCAAGGTTATTATGGTAAATTTGGATAGTAGGTAGTGATAATATTTGCTTTAAGTAATAAATGGACAGATACCTGAAAGATAAATATCTACATATTTGTCTTATAATAAAATATCAAATATGATATATATATATATGGTAAACTATAATTTAGTACTAAATATCGCTGAGCGTCGGTTTTGAACGAATGTGAACCTTGGATCTGAAAAATTTAAAGAGAGGTCGAGAAACACTTTTCGTGAATCGGAGAAGGCATAAAGAAACATTTTCTTGCCCATCGTATACAAACCTCTGATCGCTCATGATACCTATAGTACTAAATATTCTTGATAGGTAGTTAATACACAGAAGGATTATGTTGAAGTAACAACGTTTTAGGTCTATATGATATGGGTAAGGTTAAGTGTTTTATCTTGATACCATTATTGATACTGCCCACTTTGTAATCATTACAAAAGATTTGATCCAAACGAGAAGCTAGGTGAATGGGGTATTCTATATAATGAGTTTGTATAAATCTGAATTACGAAATATTTAATCTCTATTTATAAATTCATTAATTGAGAAAATTAATGTTTCAATTGATAACTATATGTGACTCGATCTTAGCTTTGAGTGAGTTACGAATTCCTACCTATGAGAACTTGACATTCGATTTGCATGGGTGATAATGGCTTTTGTAGCCGATTCGGTATGCCTACCATTTTGGATACTTGACCAAATAGGGAGCTGAGAACATAATTTCAGGAGATGAAATTTACTCCTTCGTGTATAGAATAAGAAAATGAGTAGTTCCAAGTGTTGATTATGAGGCCCACCCTTTTCGTAGACGAAAATAGACTTAATTTATGATTGGATCATAAATGAATTGTTTACTAAGAATTAGTGGTACTTAAGGTCAAATATATAGTTACGGGGATAAGTGGACTTTTGGCCTAGTTGTAATTATGAATAACTCGTAAATGATCTGTTTGTATGTAATGATTACATCTGTGGATATAACTTGTCCTACCGTGCATAAGAGTTCAACTATAAGTTTATAACATGTCACAAGGTCTTCATACCTGCTCATAATGACGAATGAAAATAGAATCAATTATTATAATTTACTTGTTCCAGAAAATATCTTATTCCCTAAATGTCGTAGAAAGTTCATAATTCTAATTTACGTCAAATATAGATATAAAAATAAATTAAATAAATTAAGTTTTTTTTATTAGAAGATTTAGCTTAAAGCAAATTTAGTTGATTTTTTTTATATAGGTTTAAATTAATATTTAATATATTTGATATATTAAAATTAAAGGAGAAAAATAAATTTAATTTAAAATTTCAAAAATACTAGATATATTAAATATAATACATTAAATATTAAAAGTATATAAATGTATATTAAATATATTAAATAAAAACATATTTTTAAAAATTGGATGAGATTCAAATTAGTTATATATATATTGAGGTAGCTGATTTAAATAAAATACTCTATCTAAGATATTAAGTATATTACTTGGTAAAGATTCTTGCAAGCGGCCGGTAAATAGACCCCTTGGATTGAGTCAAAATACACTGCGGAAATTCTCCTATTCTTATAAAAGGCTCCAACAATTCAATTTAATAGTATCAGAGTTATAGCAAGGAAAATTTTTCGAAGAACTTCGTTGTTGGAATCGAGACTTGTAAGCTACGATTTCTACAAAGGTATGTGTTGTTGCTCTCATATTAATTGCTTTATTTTAATTTTTAACAAGATCAAAACGGTTCTCAATGCTTTTGCTAAAGATGAAGAGTTCATTTCGTTCATGGATGCCTTGGAGGTGTAATAGGTTCTTAGGAACGTCCGGTCAGTTTAAATCCTATCTTTAGTTTTTCAGGACGTTCGGTGTTAGCTCCTTAGCTAAACTAATCTACGGTGCACATAGGTTTAAACCTCTGATCGCTTATGATACTGAGGTGCAAGGTCTACTGAAAATGTACTGACTTGGGTCAACATGTATACGCTCTAACTGTAGCACCCTAAACTTGACTTGGTTCTCTTGTGCATGATTTACTGGAAAGATTATCCTGTCGATCATCTAGAGCATTGTATACATAATCTAATCATGTGTGTAAGGTTATTAGGGAGATTTTCTATCGGTCATCTAAAGCACTAAAATTTCAACGGAAGCATTCATGCAAACAAACTCAATGGAGAGATAACGTCAATCAATCCCCTGGAACACAGATCACATTAATGTATCCTTCTTTCTAATAGAGCAGAAAGCATATAAAGCAACCTTCATCCCAAATAATTTTGGTAACATTCATCCCAAATAATTTTGGAAATTTCTTACGTCATGCATAACATACTCATCCTTATTACCCAACTCATATTCTAGTCGACATGTCTTTTCGCTTTATTTTGACTCTCCAAGCCAAAAGAGTTTGTGCATTAGGAGGGTGAAATGGAGAAGATGGAGTTTTGGGCATTGCAGCATCCCTTGGAACCTGATCATCCAATGCCCAACTCTTCTTCCCTTCTGCTTCATGTAACCTTCTTCTTCTTCTTCTTCCTTTTGACGTGATTGTGAAGTGTCAAGAGAAGGAAGGGCAGCGGTGAGGCCGGTGAGGAAGCGACACCACCACACGCTCAGCCCACCCGACCACCTGATGGCGCCGACCACCCAGGAGTTCACTATCTTCCAAATGCTTCAACAATTGGAAAATTTTGAGTCTTCATATTCATACTCACTCATGGTTCAAATCAATGGGAGAGAAGCCCTGTTCAAGGTTTAGTTTATATATAAATTGCAAGCTTTGAGATGTATTTGTGTGCATTAGAGGGAATATTTTGTTTTTTGTTTTTTTTTTTTTTTTTGGTACTTTGGTAAAGTTAAAGTTGTGCCCTCCAATCGTTAACGTAATGCACGGGCGTTGATAGGGAAGAAGTAAATTTATTTACGTGTTCATAGACTCGAAAATTCAACCAACCTAGACTAGATTAGTTTGGGGTAGATTTCTTTTTGTGTTTGAGTTTGGTTGAATTTTTGGAATAGCGAAAGTTTGAGTTGGTTTGTGGGTTTACAATTTTTGGTCCGGCAACCTAAAAATAAGGTTGTAGCTAGTGAATATTTGATATTTAACTTTTATAAAATTTTAATTATAAATATAATAAAGAAATTAACAGGTGAAAGTAATATTTACAAGCTAGAGTTTTAAAAACCAATGAATAATAAAGGGTCATAGTTTTTAAAAACTTTATTTTTGTTTTTTTGAAATTTGGCTAAGAATTGAAAAACATGCACAATTTTTAAAAATTAAATGATTATTAAATAAGCCTAAGACANAAAAAAAAAAAAAAAAAAAAAAAAGAAATTAAGACAAAAATTTAAATTAACCTAAAATCTAACTATTTATTTATTATTAAATATTTCATAAATCCACGAAAAAAATTTAAATCTTCCCTCGAAACAAAAACTTCACAGAGTTCTATCTCAGATATAGACTTCCTAAACTCAAACCTCGAAAATTTACACCATAAATACAATTTTTTTGGTGACTTGATACAAATTGAAAATTCATCAACCCATTAAACATAAAAATAAATTAAAAAAATATAAAATGTATTAAATACTTTGAAGTTAAAGATTTTCTCAGACAACATTAAAAAAATTTATAAGGCCAAACTTACAACAACCAAACCAAGAAAATGAATAAAAAGTTGGTAAATAAGCATATTAACATAAAATAATTATTATGCTAAAAAGCGCCCAATTTTAAAAATTTTAAAAATTTAAACAGCTCTACTTTTAAGACTTAGATCATATGTTGTTGCTAAAAGAACATTATCCACTTTGGTAGGCTGATTATATTTCTCTATTTGTCCGGCTTCTAAAGCTACAATGCATTTCAGTTTCTTCCTGGCAGGAACTTCAACATTTAAGCCAAAAAGATACCACAAAATAGCAACAGAACTTACTTCTCATGATTAAGAGCTGCTCTGTTTTCAAGCCCTTGCTACTTTTCTAGCAATCGGAGTATCAGTCTCTAAAACGTGAAGTAGAATGCCTCTCACTTCTTCCACAATATCTTCTTCTATGAATGGCATTACGAACTGGACTGCGATTATACGAGTAAATCAATTTACGCATTAGTTTTAACACAACCTATGAGCTTCACTCAACAACAAACAACAACAGAGTAAGTTAAACTACCACTAGTTCCTGTATTCCATTACATTTGGTCATCACTGATTCACTGCTAATATTCTCCATTACAAGAAAAATGAAGAAAAAGATGATGATAGATTCACTATTTTTGCTCCAAACTAGTATAACATTCAGTACTGTATTACAATATGGAACGAAGAAAGTTAGATCTAGCTCAGACAACTCAGACATCTTGAATTTGAACCTCATGCCCAAGAGAGGCAATCAATCAAAGTTCATCTTAGATACCCTATGAGATGAGAGTTTTATTTCCTTCCCTCAAAGGGGCATTTTAGTTGATTTTGAGCCTTGCGCCCTTTCTATTCCTTTTATTAGCTATATCTGTGGAACCTACATCCGAAACATTGAGAGAAAGGCAAACGCAAAAACATTGTGCGTGAATTTGACGACTTAAAATGTTTAAACATGTTGAAGTTCATAGCATTCGAGTTATTATTCTAAAATTCTCGTTTGGAGTGGACTGAGTGTTTAAACATGTAAATTGTAAGCGTAAATTTCAAATATTAATGAAATGGTCTCTCATCAAACAAAATCTCCTATAAACTAAATGGGGAGTCTCTCAACCCTATCAGTATCAGATATAGGATACCAATCTAATCTTTTTTTTTTTTTAAAAAAAAAAAACTATGAGAAACAACTGGGGGATAAAAAGAAGAGAAAAAGGAGATAATCTCCTCCTAAATCTCCTAATCCCCCTTGCAATGTTTCCCCACTCTCATTCTCTAGAGAATCTATGTCGTTCTTACTCCTTCCACTCCCAGTTCAACGAAACCTTCTCCATTCTGCCTTGAGCGAGACAAAAAAACATTCCGCACTCAGAGTTCCCACTTGTGTTATACTTGAGAATTTAAGGTTATATCAGCAAAATCCTCAACTTTGATCAGAGAAGTGTTCCATAAAAATAGCTCAAAGTTCTATCCATGCTTAATAAAAAGGAGAGATGAACTGTAAATGCAACTTACCCCAGGGAAGAACTGGAAATTCCCATTCTTGCACTGGAACAGTGATGAGATATGAAGCAACCTACAAACATGAGAAGGAGAGAGAAAGTTAGTGAATAATTAGAAATGTTCCAATCTCACTCCTAAAAAGACATACCAAGATGGCAGCAGCTAAAGAACAAGGAGAACTGTAAGACACAGATGTCTCCTCTTTTTCATAAAGAAGATCCATTACATCCATGCATGCTTCCCAGTTCACAAGCTCCCCAACTTTCGCCACTTCCCTGAATTTAGTACCAGGAAGAGACAAACTAAGAAGAAGCCAAGAACAATCTGATAGTAATTACCCGAGACTAAAATGACAGCCTGATTTGAGTGAGACAGCAAAAGATCTTACTTGAATTGAATAAGAAGTTCCTCAAGAAATACAAAAGTGATATTAGCAGTTCCAATCTCAAACTTCAATATCTATAGAAGATAAACATAGATCATCAGGACACAACCAGAATGAGGAAAGAAATATCTTTGGTTTATGAGAAATACCTGCATGAATATGACCTCCTACAGAACATTATCATCAGTAATTGCAGATATGACAGCAAGAAAGCAATTCTAAAACCACTATGGAAACAGCAACTTACTGCATCCAATAAATCCCGGGTCATGAAATGTTGTTCCTTAATCATCTTATCCCCAAAAGATTTCAGAAGTTTTATAGAAAGAGGATGAGAAGTGTGCAACTGCAAAAGAATTTGTATAGTTGAATCACATGAAAAACTAAGGCACTCATCTTCAGAAAGGGGAGAAAGAAAAACCCACTTTGCTAGATATCCATAAGGAAACAAGTGCAAATAACTGCAAATTGCTCTCTGTGATTGGTTGCAGAAGCCAATTTCTTGAGGCATTGCTGCTGGTGATTCTTTTGATTCAAATAACAATTAAAAGGTGAGTATGAGTTTAGGATGACTTATGGAAGGATGAAAAGTAACTTCAACCAATTAAAATTACTTAAATTTTCATAGCATTTCGTTCGACAACCAAAAGTGATCTTGAAAAGTCTAGAACGTAAAAAGCACTAAATTAGTATTTCTTCCAAACGTGCTTAAAAAACATCTAACTCACATCTAAACGAGATAGAAAATTTCATAAGACAGCCCTGGTAAAATTATCACTAGATAAGTAGCAATCTTCTCAAAAGCAAACACAGGGGCCCCGAAAAAGAAAATCGTAATAAATATAGAATTTCTCCAATTGTTCATAAGGAAATGATAACAATTCCGATCCTAATTCAAACAACACTGACGTTCATGACATTAAAACAGCAATATCAGTAAAATCAAACAAAAATTTGACAATATTGCTCCATTGGATGATACCCTTCACATTCCTATAATCGTATTGTGCTGTCCTTCGACAAGATACTGCTTATTCAACTAAATATTTCCAAAATTGAATGCATCAAGAATCAAAAAGAGCTAAAAATTACCCAGAAAGCGATGGGTAGAATCTATCAGCGAAAAGTGACAACGCGGAGTATTTGACGATCGGAGCCACTTCGAGATCCTACCAAGAAAATTGATTCAAGCCAGAAACAAAAGTGAGTAGAGGACGAAAGAAGAATAGGTAAAACTAGAACTCAAATTTGGAGAAGAGAAGTTTCCAAAAGATTCTGAGAAATTTGCTGCTTTCCGCCTTCTAGAACTGAAAATTGTTGGGAGTGAAAGAAGATTCACATGAGCAGATTGAATAAGGAATTTGACGACACGAATTCTCAGAATCGGTAAGTTCTCACTCTCCATCGTTGTTCTGCTTCCCTTCATCGCGTAGTTGCATTGCATGCCAATGTCTACGATACAACAAACACGCCTACGCCTCTTGTGTTCTCAGTTTTTTTTCCCTTTTTTTTTTTTTTTTTTTTAATTTTTATTTTTCTTTTCAACTCCATAATAAAAAAATTTATTATTTAAATTAAATTTTTGAAAAATAAAAAATTAAATCTGTCTTGTGAGTTTGACACATTTTTTTATCGGGTAACCCAATCAATTCAAAAATAAGATTACAATCCAACCATACTTTTAAATTATCACGAACATTATTAATATATTGAACTTTTATGACATTTTAGTTATTAATAACATGTACGTGGATTAATATAATTTTTTAAATAATTACAAAAAAAAAAATCGGTAATCCACCATAATTCAACCTCAAAATAGAGTATCAATTATTGAGTTGAGTCGGGTTGCGAACACTATTCAAATTGTTCGAGTCACCAATTTAACCAATTCAATAATTTGGAGCAATTTTTAAGAAGTTCTTATTCGAGATCCAGACTTAAATTTTTATAGTGCAAATTAAACCATAAACTTTAAACATTGATACTGAATGTCGTGCTCTGAAATGAAAGACCAGTGTGGCTGGTTTAATTTAATTGGTCACCTTTTGTTCAAGTAGACCCATTTACTCTTTTGACTCAATTTAGACCATTTCTGACTCAATTTTTTTTATATGTTTTCTTTGGTTCTCTGGTATGAACTCGATTTCACTCCAGATATAGGTTAAAGAAAATAAACAACAACTACAGCTTTGATAGCATATAATTCGAGTGGAAAGAATTGACAGCTAGTCACATCCTCTATAGAACATTTTGAGACATTTTAGCTCTGATGAGTATATATATGATTTGGAAAATAGTCTGACAAAATTGCAATATTAAAGACCTAATTATACATGAAAGTAAGTAAAAAGCCGTTTAGAACGGGTATGGAGTAGCTACACGACTAACTTTAAGTATAAGAAACCGAGAGTAGGCTTATTGGTCTAAGTGGAGGAAAAAAAACAAAGGATTGAACTCAAAATATTTTCTGGAGATGTACATTTTCCTGGAGAGATAGATAAGATATCCCGACACAATGGCATCTTAATACCACCTGAAAAAGTAAAAAAAAGTTCCAAGAAATGAAAAAAAAAAAAAAAACATGGATGCAGCCATGGACAACATGCCCTAGATAAGCATAATCGTGACATCCAACATGCGGCCACATGCAACACGCTTTGGACAAGCATGACTGTGATATTTCCTACCCGTGCCCTGCACCAAGCTTATCGGTACATATCACAATGTATTGAGCAAATTAAAATTGATATAATCAATCCATATTGAACTAACCAATTGTTCTTCAATTTTGGTTGCACTCTTTTTTGTTACCAATACAGAGGGTTAAGGATGTAATGATATACTCTTTGAGAAGCAGATCTAATAGATGATTGCAATCTCACTACAATAAAAAGTAACAAAAGAAAATAGATGATAGAAGCAAGCAAACTACAACACTAGCAACTTCTACAAACTCTGAACATATTGCTGCCTGGATGCTTGAAGCTTCAAATAGACCTCTTTTCAAAGGTTTTTTTTTTAGTTTCTAAGAGTTCGATAATGTTTTAACTAGTTGAACCATAATGAAATTAACAAATAATTACGAGTCAAACTATTAAAAATTGAGCGTAATTGCCTTAATGGGAGTGCTATGCAAACCAGGGCAAAAGCTCATTTATTGTTCATTTTTGTACAAGCTTGAATCTAATTATAAATTGCCTATAAAGCTCTCGACCCTCCTGTAGTACTTAAAAGTGACAAATCAAATAGATACATAAGCTCATTCTACAATTGTATGTGGTTTGTATACTTGATACTTCACAATTAACCTTTCTGCAACTAAGGTCATTTTTCTCAACATTGTATCCAGCAATCACATTCACAGGAGGAATTGTCGAAAGCACTTTGTCCTTCTCATCTATTCTTCAATGTTAGAGAGGAAAAAAAAAAAAATAGAACAAACTTAAGAGGGTAGATCAAGAAAATTTCAATTTTGAACATCAACAAAAATGTGGAAATTTTACATATATGATCAGAGAACTAGGACACTGCTTATTTGAATTTGAATATAACAAATATGCTATGGGAGAGTCAAAACAGTTCCAATTAAGATTGATAGGCTTTGAGTTCCTCAACATTCCACCTTCATTTAACCACTGGAAAAGGTGGGAAGCTCAAACTTGTCAAATTTACCATTCTTGATTAAATATGCAGCAACGGCAATTAACAAAATGAATATGATGACCCACAAGTTCATTCCTGCAAGCAAATAAATGGTAATTTAGTGATACCCTCGAGCCTCCATTTCCTATTAGAATAGTAAAGTTTATTAACGCTCTTATGTAACAAGTCATTATACTACATGAATTAAATGTCAATTTTAGGTTAAAAGAAGATACATATGAAGTTCGGACCCTTCATACATACATCGTCTACGAATAAAAAAATTTCTAAGTTAATGTTAAAAAAATATACCAACATTAGAAAAAGCCTAAAACATCAAACATGATGGTCAAAATCAGTGTTAAAACTATGCGTTCACCAAATGCACAACACCTCAAGGTGGGCATAGGAACCAGAGGTAATCATTACTCAGATATAGTTAAGAAGAAATGTCCTTCACCAAATATAGACAAAGTGAGACAGTTCCACTAAGGAGCGGTGAAGGCATCTTAGCCATTTTTATTCTATCATTTTCAGTTTAATGAGAGAACATCGGTGAAAACATATATTTTCATGATTTTTTCTTTTTAAGTAAAATTTTCCTAAGTCTAGGCTACATCAAGCACATCGTATCTTTCACCATTAACCATGACCAAACAATAAACAACATAAAATCCTTCGATTAAAAGCCCAAAGTTATATCATGCTGTTTTCTATCAAAACTGGTAGCAGGCTTATGTATCATGTTGTTTTAAACATAAGCCTGCTACTAGAGATGGTGCAGTGTGCGTAGATATCATTCTATATCATGTTTCTATAGGTCAAGTGCAGTAAGGTGACAATTGACAACAGATGGCATGTGATGATAGACATTTGAGTTATCAGACCATAAAGCAAGGATACAAGTACCGTTTTTCTGCTCCTCCTCAATTACAGTCACCCTAACACTGGAATCCATTGATGCAGAAACCAAAGCCCTGGATTAAAAAAAAAAAAAACATCCTTCATAATCAATATTATTGCAGTGATATCTAATTATGTTAAACGGAGATGTTTGATTAAAACCTTGAATCATGGAAAAAGCTCATTGCAGTTACAAAACCAAGGTGTGCCTTCTTAACTATCTTTTGGACTCGCATGCCGGTTGAATTTATGATCAGAACATCTCCCTGAGTTGTACCACTACACCAATAATGAAGCAGAAATTGTTACGGAGTGTATTCAAACTACAACACCATACATATTCAAGAGTAGCCTAGCCAGCAAGGTAACAAAAAACAATGTTATTCGTTATTTGGGATAGAATAGTTACTAGTGAAGGCATAAGTTAAAAGGACTGTCATAATCATTCTTTTTGTTTCAACTTAATCTTATTTGCAAAATAACCTTTCGAAATTTTTAGTCCACATGGACAAACAGTAAAAGATAAATAACCTTGTCCGGAATTTTTCTGATAAAAACAAAAAAAGGTGAGATGAGATTTGACAGAAGAAAAAATAAGCCTAAGTTAGCATCAATCTATTAAAAGCCTAAGAGTATGAATCCACAAGTATAGGACTGATAGACTGAGAGGGGCATATGGAAAGGGAATAATGGTTGAAATGTTTAAGATATGTCATGCATGAAACAGAGTCTACAGTTTTCCCACTACCTAATAGGCCTTATTGCCTCAACAATTGGGTCTGATTAAAACCAATCTCACAGTGCACCCTAACGAAGACCTAAGCAAATCATGGGCAGCACAACATAGAGCGTCCCACAAGGTTAGAACACCTAGGTAGCTGGAATTTCACCTCCCATTTAATGGTATTTGACATTTCCTAAACATGGACATCATAATAGGAGGCATGACTGCAATGTTCAGGTATCAAAATAGCAGATAACTTGCATGAAAAAAAATCACTTATTTTAGTACCAGGCAAGGAGCTTCCCATTAGCTGAAACATTGAATGCAGTAATATTATCACGAGTTATGAGCTTTGAGGCTACCCTCCTCCAAGTGGTTGCATCCCAGGTTACAATGGCTCCACCTTTGCCTATTTAATAGAATCCTCACCAAGATTAGATAACAATAGAATTATAGGGCAAACATAAGTCGGAAGAAATCTCTTTACTAGTCACTGTAGCAGTGTATAAAACCATATTCCCGTTGTTGGCCAAAGAAAATCTGCATGAGACAAAAACCTCATCCTGCAAGAGAGAAAGCATCCTTGAAAATTCGATCATCTCTCAAAACTAAAGATACCAAAATAAAACTTTGTTTATAGCTAGCCAGAAAGTTCTTTTCACACCATAGAAAGGATTACCACAAAAACTGAATCAAGGATACCAAAAACATCATTTGACAAAACCATAGACCAAAAGCATCAAACATTGCCCAACACCATGAGGCAATAAGAGCACTAAGAAAAAAAATGACAAGGATGCTCTGAATTAGAAAAACACATTACACAACAATGAGAGAAGGTAAACTGAGGCATTCTCCTTTGAAATCGAATAGCTATGTCAATACCTCCAAGATTAAGCTCGCATAAAAAATAAATAAAAAAATCTAAAATCTTAGGATAGGCATCTTTTCAAACCATCAAATAAAGGTTGTTAGAACAATGATATGTAACAGAAACTAGCCACGTAAACAGGGTTAAAGAGACCAACGCCAAGAATCAAAAGTTATGTTATAAATGATAGTATTAAATCACCCATGGACCCAAAAGCTTAAGTTGTTGAGTTAAAGTAAATGTAATTATATTAATACTTTAACACTCCCCTACTTGAGGGCTTGAAAATTTGTATTTCTAACAAGCGGAAATCAATATTATTTAGGGCGAATATGAGATTACATTGGTTTGAACC